ATACCCCACCACCAAAATGTTGGATTCAGAGTTATGTGGAAATTACAGTATAATTTTTTCCAGAAGGAATGGAGAGAACAATGATAATGTGTGGCATTGGAGTTTAATACAAACAAAATCTAACTTCAAAAATATGACACCAGTCAAATGTTAAAGTGACGATGGACCCTTTGGAAGACTCCAGCAAAAGTGCAACTGAGATGGGGCAAGAAAAGGATAGAAAGCTGGTTTATGCACTGTTACAGTGGTAGCCACAGAGAGGGTGAAAATTTGAGGACCAGGAAAAGGAAGATGGAGTACTCTTTATGTATCAGAAGAATACAATCTTCTCTTTGATATGAGGGGGCAAGCCATTTGCTGCATTTTCTTGTTTGGAAAAAATTCAAATTGTCAATATTTAAAATAAGTCAAGGTACAATCTCCAAATGTTAGAACACATAAATGCAGAAACTGTTTGAGTGTCTACATTACAGAATGGCTTATAAATTTGTCCATAGTGCACTCAAATGTTTTTGAAGATAATATATTCATAAGGCAAGCTCCTTAGAAATCAAAACTTTTTGAATGAATGTTATCAAACTCCTTAAATGTAAACTTGTCTCCTAGTCTATGTCTCAAAGGGGAAAACAATAGTAAGAAATAACTGGATAGAATGATCCTCCCTGTATATTATTACTAAACTCCAAAATTGGAACAGATTTTGATGTTTACAAATTCATTGCAGATGGTACTGTTTTGACTGTCCTATTAGAAAGCCATATTTCAAGAATATGAACTTTAATTCAAGTACAGAACTGAATCTCCCTGAAAACAAGAACTGAAACTTGATTCACTTTTAAATCCCTGTAACACCCATATTAAATAACATAAATTCCCTGTATACATTCATACATAAAGATAAATGTATCATTAACATAGCAGGTAGTAAAAATACCCATGGAAAGAACAAAATACAGTAGAAACTTGAAAGAAAGAATGATAATGATGAGACTGGGAAGCAGCGAGGAAGACCCAGTTCATGAAGTCTCTTCTGTGCCAAGGGGCATGGACTTCATCCTGGTGCTGGTGCTTAATGAAGCTGGTACTTCATTCCAGTCCCTCCTCTCTCCTCAGGGACTTCTCCATCAGTTGCTTCAAATGAATTTCTACCAGCTTTATAAACCTAAAACAGGTTTCTCTGCCTCTCCTTTCCTTCTGCCACCATCTTAGTCACTTTTCTGAAACACTAAGTTTACATGTAACACCCCATTTTTTCACCCCTTCTCCACTTCACAGTTCACTACAATTAGATTTCTGTCCCAATATTCCACTAAACTGTTTTAGCAAAAGCCACAAGTCACCTTCTGATTCTCAAATCTAGGAGGCTCTGCTTATTAGCCCTTTTCTCACTTGCTCACTTTGGTAGCTTCCTTCCAAGACCCCTCACTCTTTTGTCGTTTGTGATACCTCTCTGTTTTCAACTTACTTCCCTCACTGCTCCTTCTTAAGATCCTTTTCTGTGTCTTCTCCCACTTGTCCTAAGAGTGAGCATTCTCCAAGGTTCAATTCTCAGTCCTGTTCTCTTCCCATACCTTCTCTCTCTCGGTTGATTTTATTTAGTTGAAATATTATTTATGACATATATAGATGTCAGCCCAAGATAGAATCTTAAGTTCGAGCCAATGGTGTCCATTACTTACTAGATATATCCATATAGTTTTATTCATTAAACATATATAGGATGGGGCAAAAGTAGGTTTACAGTTGTTCATATGGAAAATAATACAAAAATTAATAAATAATACAAGAGTAAACTGTGTTTCGCATACTCACAACCATAAATCTACTTCTGCCCTACTCTGTATTGTAGAGTATTTACTGTGCCCTGTGTGCTCTGACACACATCTACCTTTTGGGCCTCTTGGGCTACAACCACTGTGATTAGGGCTACTGATGACAGGAACCCAGAAGGACAGCAGCAAACCCTTTTCTGGGTGTCATTCTTGTCTTGAGAAAGGAGGTGAGGTCTCCAGTAAGTCTTAAAGCCTGCCAAAGAGGAAAGAAGCCCCTGAGGACTAAGGGAAAGAGTATTTCAAACAAAGAGCACAGCCTGAGCAAAGGTAAAATAGCAAAAAGCAGCTGAGCGAACCAGCAAAGAAAGCATAGCAATTTCTGATCACTGAAGCTTAATGTGTGAGGCTGGAAAGAGAGGCAGAGGCAGACCAAGAGGATCACCAAGAGCTTTAACTTTACCCAACAGTGTAGATGATGAGTGTGTATAAATGATGGAAAATGGGGGTGAAATGGTCAGATCTGACTTTTAGAAAGAGTATTAATGTGCTCACAGGGTGGAGGACAGATAGGAGGTAGAAGGAAGCCCAGAGACAGGGACCAGGAGAAGTTGGCTGAGGTTACACGTTCATTTCCATCTTCTTTGGTACTGCCCCCTTGAAGACCATGATAATGTGTCTATTGTTTCTGCTGGGTCTCAATTTTTCTGTCTCATACATGCATGGCCTTACATATAAATATAGTTCATGTGTGTGTAATTGTTGAATAGTTTCCACTTTCCAAAGACTCCAACCTTGGACATACATCTACAGGATTAATAATAGCATTACATAAATGGGATAAGATTTCTTGCCAATGTTTAACATAGTTTGCTTTTTTCCATATTTAATCTTAAATGAGCACACAAGCATGTATTTTGGCAAAACCTCTGTGTATTAGCCCTCTGACTGTAGCAAGTCCAAATCTATGTACACAGCAGTAAAATAAGCTTCTTATACTCACTGTGAGGGTTGGACAGTCGGAGACATTCAGCTCTTGCAAATTTTTACAGAGGCCTAAATCAAACAAGTGACACATCACTGAACAACATATTACAAATGTTTAACTTAAAGTTTTTCCATCCTATATTCAATGCAATGTATTCATTAGAAAACAAACAAAAACCTTGGCAAGTAACTTAGATTCTAAGTATTGGTTTCTTTTCCCAGAAAAATGATTTCTTTTGGCTTTAAAATTCAGTATATACACATGTTTATTATTGTTTGAGGATTACAGAAGGAAGCAGAAAAGAGAAAAATACTACTTTGGGAAAAAGAGTGTATATTTAGAGTTTTAAGCTTCAAAGCACTTAAAACCAACCTGCTTTTTTTGTGGCATGATTTCTTGCTCATTTTTTGTTTGTTTTCTGTTTACTTTGAATATGTTATGATGAAAATTTTCAAACATACAAAAAATTGAGAGAATGAAGAATTATACAATGAATATACATAACACCTACATTCTACAATTTATATCTTAATTTATTTGCTTTATCACATTATCCACTTATATATCCATCTCTCTATTGCTCAATTCATCTTATTTTTGATGCATTCTAAAGTTACAGACATCACCATACTCCCCCCACTACTTCAGCATGCATATCGTATATAATTCAGCAAACATAATAATTAACAAAATATGATTATTTTAGGTTAGGTTTACATACAATTTACAATGAATTACAGTTAGAGAAGTGGAAGGTTAGAAAGGCCAAGTGCCTGATTAGCTCTGGACCAGGGGTGACTGTACAGATTGCTCAGAAGACACATACACGAAGAGCCAGATGGCAAAGTGATACACAATTAGCACTCTGGGTGTAGGCTGACAGGAAGTAAAACTCCAAATCTAAGACAAAAGAGAAGCACTTAGGAGTGAGAACACAAAATGTAGATAGAGGTATGCTTGAGGCAAAGAAGCAGGGAGGCATTCTAGGTGGAGTAGACCACATCACGGAGGAAAACTCCAGGCTAGGGAGTGATCCTGGCATTCACACTGCTACGATGAATAGAAAACACATCTGCCATTCATAACCACACAGCCCCACGGTAATAACAACAGAAATGTTATTAATTATAAACCCATTTTGAACATTTCTTCCTCTGCCAAGAATGGACTATATCCTAAGTAATAAATGCAAACCAAAACCACTCTCAGGGTTCAACAATGGAAACAATTCTTTAAGATGTGCAGATTTTGAAAGTCATCAAAGATACTTGCTAAGGAAAAAAATAGATTGCCCCAAAAATATAATAACTAAGTTTATGAGATTAATATTTTCATAGAATGGTTACTTGAGAGTCATTCATGCACTCAGCATTTTTATCAGGGATGTGCTTTGTGCTAAAAATTCTACAGGTACCAGAAATACAGCAGTGAACAAAATAGACAGAAGTCTCTGCCCTTATGGAGTGTACATCCTAGTTTGGGCATGGAGAGGGACTGATAGTAAACAAAAGAAGTTAAATAGATGCTTTGACAGGTGGTGAGAGGTACTCTGGAGAAAAATGCAACAAGAAAAAGGGGGTAGGGCAGCCAGTGAAGGGAAAGGGGTGTGACTTCAAATACAGCAGTCAGAGACATCTTCACTGAGAAAGTGCCCTTTGAGCTAAGCTGTTCAGGAGATAACAAGGACAGCTGCAGTTTACGCTGAGCACTTCTGGAGTCCACATTAAATATGATTGGTGACTGGAAGACAATAAATGGAAGAGAAAAACAAGCTCTGGAAGATAGTCATTGGAGTCCTCCTATTTGCACACCTCAAGGCTGTAAGGAGAAACCTCTTAATTTCTTGAATCCAATGTGATGATGAGCTACAAGTTTCAATTTTCCTAATCCTAAACCCTAACCTTGATGAATACTTTCCCTGGACCAAGCACTTTGCAGTGCCTAGTTCATCCTCTCAACAATACTAGAGGTATCCTCAGTCCCATTTTACAGATGCAGAAGATGAGATTAAATAATTAGCCCAAGTTTGCACAATTAAGCAATTAGGAGAGTCTGGATTCGAACTCAGGGCTCAAACATTTAGCCACTAAACAAGGCACATAGGAGGGTGCAGAGCCTTATACACCACCATTCTTAATATGCCTTTATTATCTGGAATGCCTGTGCTTTAAAACAAGCTATTATCTTTCAATAACATTGCTCACAATCGTCCTTAATTGTTTTTTTTTTCTCCTGCAACCTAGGGGCTCCACCATACCTCAGCTGGATCTCTTTGTTCCTGATGTGCATTAGTTAAAATTACCCAAACTTGGATTTCAAAGGAATAATTTCATTGTTCTATCTGTCACACTAAGTAATTGGGACCAGCTGGATGTCAGGATGCGAGTGGTTACCATCATAACCCTGCTTTTCTTTTGTAAAGCTGCTGAGCTCCGCAGGGCAGACCCTGGGGGTGTGAAAAACCAAAGGAATCATGGCCTGGTGGGTGGGGGCCGGAGAGGCTCCATCCCAGTCAAACGCTCCACACCAGACCTCCCCTGCGAAGTGTACATGTATCTTCACGAGAAATACTTAGATTGTCAAGAAAGAAAACTACTTTATGTGCTGCCTGGCTGGCCTCACGATTTGGTGCACATGTTGTTAGCAAGAAACAAGATCCACGTATTGAAGAACAATATGTTTTCCAAGTTCAGAAAGCTTAAAAGCTTGGATCTGCAACAGAATGAGATCTCCAAAATTGAGAATGAGGCTTTCTTTGGTTTAAACAAACTTACCACTCTCTTACTGCAGCATAACCGGATCAAAGTCTTGACAGAAGAAGTGTTCATTTATATGCCTCTCCTGAGCTACCTGCGCCTTTATGACAACCCCTGGCACTGTACTTGTGACATGGAAACACTTATTTCAATGTTGCAGGTTCCAAAGAATCGAAATTTGGGGAATTACGCCAAGTGCAAAAGCCCACAAGAACTAAAAAATAAGAAACTGCGGCAGATAAAATCTGAAGAGTTATGTAATGAAGAAGAAAAGGAACAATTGGACCCCAAACCCCAAGTGTCAGGGAGACCCCCCGCCAGGAAGCCTGAGGCAGATTCTTCTCTTTGCCACATTTATGTGTTTCCCATACAAACACTGGACTGCAAAAGGAAAGGTTTGTAAGTTTCTTTTTCATTTTCACAGATGATTGTAAATGTTCTTTGAATCTTATAACTCTTCCTACACCTAACCGTGCCTTGGAGTTTCTGGTGTAACTTCCCCCAAAATCTTTCTCCAATGACGATGCACCCTGCTCCAAGCTTTTCTGGAGTTCAAACTCAAGATGGTTGGTGATTTAGGGGATATTAGAGGAGGGTAGGAGGAATAGCAAATAAGGGTCCTAATCTTTTTTTTAAGTTAAAGAATTGTATTTATCTATTCATTCATTTATTATATATTTTGGTTGGTATTTTTTCCATTGCCATTTATCCCCTTCATACCCCCTCTCCCCCACAGTCACCACACTGTTGCCCTTGTCCATGAGTCCTTTTTTCTTTTTGCTCAATCCCTCCACCCCCTAACTTCCCCACCAAATACCTATCATCTTGCTTTCTACCTACCGTATGTGTCTGTCACTATTTTGCTACTTCAGTTCATTAGATCCCACATATAACTGAAATCATATGGTACTTGTGTCTCTGACTGGCTTATTTCACTTAGCATAATGTTATCCAGGTTCACTCATGCTGTAGCAAATGCTAAAATTCTCTTTTTTACAGCACAGTAGTATTCCATTGTGTAAATGCCCTATAGTTGTTTTATGCACTAATCTGATGGGACACTTGGGCTGCTTCCATATTTTGCTGATTGTAAATCACACTGAAATGAAAACAAGGGTGCTTATGTTCTTTTAAATTAGTGTTTTGGGTTTCTTCAAGTGTATTCCCAGCAGTGGAATTGCTGGGTCAAAAGGCAGATCCTTTTAATTTTTTGAGGTAACTCCATACTGCTTTCCACAATGGCTGCACTAGTCTGCACTCCCAGAAACAGTGCAAAAGGATTCCTCTTTCTCCACATCATCACCAGCACTTGTTGTTTGTTGATTTATTATGATAGCTATTCTGGCAGGTGTGAGATGGTATATCATTGTGATTTTAATTTGCATTTTTCTCATGATTAGTGACATTGAGCATCTTTTCATATGTATATTGGCCATGTGTGTGTTTTGTTTACAGAAATGTCTGTTCAGGTCCTTTGACAATTTTTTAATTGGATTGTTTGTTTTGTGGTGTTGCTTTGTAAGTTCTTTATAAATTTTGGATATTAATCCCCTATCAGATGCATTGGAGAAATTATTCTCCCCCCATGGGTTGTCTTTTTATTTTGTTGATAGTCCCCTTTGCTGTGCACAAACTTTTTAGTTTGATGTAGTCCCATTTGTTTTATTTTTCTTTTGTTTTCCTTGCCTGGGGAGATATATCAGATAAAATATAGCTATGAACAATGTTTAAGATTTTATTATGTTCTCTTCTAGGATTTTTATGGCTTTTAGTCTAACATTTAAGACTAATCCATTTTGAATTTTTTCTTGTGTGTGGTGTAAGAAGATGGTCTAGTTTCATTTTTTTGCACACATCTGTCCAATTTTCCCAACAACATTTACTGAATAAACTATCATTAGCCCATTCATTTTGTGTGCTTACTTCCTCTGTCAAATATTAAGTAAGTGGTTATAAAGGTGTGGGTTTATTTTTGGGTTCATATTCCATCCCATTGATATGTTGTTGTTGTTTTTGGTACCAGTACCATGCTGTTTTGATTACTATGGCCTTAGAGTCTAGTTTGATATTTGGTAGTGTGATTCCTCCAGTTTTTTTCTTCTGTCTGGGATCGCTGTTGCTATGCAGGGCCTTTGGTGATTCATTATAAATATTTGAAATATTTGTTCCAGTTCTGTGAAATATGACATTGGAATCTTGATAGAAATTGCATTGAATCTATAGATTGCTTTGGGTAGCTTGGATGTTAGTTCTTCCAATCTATGAACACAGTATGCTTCTACTTATTTGTATCTTCTTTAATTTCTCTGAGGACAAGTCTTTTACACCCTTGGTTAGATTTATTCCTAGGTATTTTATTCTTTTTTGAAGCAATTGTGAATGGGATTTTTTCCCTAATTTCCCTTTCTGTTAGTTTATTATTGGCATATAAAAATGCAACTAATTTCTGTATATCAATTTTGTATCCTGCTACTTCACTGAATTCATTTATCAGTTCTTATAGTTTCTTGGTGGACTCTTTGGAGTTCTCTATGTACACTATCATGTCATCTGCAGTAAAGACAGTTTTGCTTCTTCCTTTCCAATTTGGATGCCTTTTATTTCTTCTTCTTCTCTTACTGCTGCGGCTAGCACTACCAGTACTATGTTGAATGTGAGAGGTGAAAGTGGACATCCCTGTCTTGCTCCTCATCTTAAGGGCAATGCTTGTAATTTTTGCCCATTGAGTATGATGCTGGTAATGGGTTTGTCTACATGGCCTTTATTATGTTTAGGTATATTTCCTCGATTTCCACTTTGCTGAGGGTTTTTATCATGAACACGTGCTGGATTTGATCAAAAGCTGTTTCTGCATCTCTTGATATGATCATGTGGTTTTTAACCTTCATTTTGTTTATGTGGCGAGTCATATTTATGGATTTGCAAATGTTGTACCAATTTTGCATTCCTGGAATAAATCCCACTTGATCATGATGTATGATCTTTCTGATGTATTGCTGTATTTGGTTTGCTAACATTTTGTTGAGTATTTTAGCATGTATGTGCATTAGGGATACTGTCCTATAATTTTCTTTCATTGTAGTGTCTTTATATGGTTTTGGAATTAGGATAACAATGGCCTCAAAAATGATCATGGAAATGTTCCCTCATCTTGAATTTTTCTGGAGTAGTTTGAGAAGGATAGGTATTATTTCTTCTAAGAATGTTTGATAAAATTCACCTGTGAAGCCACCTGCTCCAAGGCTATTTTTTCTTGGGAGGTTTTTTATTACTGCTTCAATTTCACTAGGTGTAATCTCTCTATTCAGATTCTCTGATTCTTCCTGATTGTGTTTTGGAAGACTGTATGTTTCTAGGAATTTATTCATTTTGTTCAGGTTGTCCAGTTTGTTGGCATATAATTGTTCATAATATTTTCTTACAATCCTTTGTATTTCTTTGGTGTCAGTTGTTATCTCTCCTCTTTCATTTCTGATTTTATTTATTTGGATCCTCTCTGGCTTTTCTTAATAAGTCTGGTTAAAGATTTGTCAATCTTGTTTATCTTTTCAAAGAACCAGCTCTTGGATTAATTGATCTTTTGTATCACTTTTTAAGACTCCATTTTGTTTATTTCTGCTCTCATCTTTATTATTTCCATCCTGCTATATACTTTGATCTTTGTTTGTTATTCTTTTTCAAGTTCCTTAAGTGTAAAGTTAGATTGTTTATTTGAGCTTTTTCTTGTTTCTTGAGGCAGGCCTGCAGTGCTATGAATTCCCCTCTCAGAACTGCTTTAGTTGTGTCACACAGATTTTGGATTGTTGTGTTCTCATTTCCATTTGTTTTAAGGTATTTTTTTATTTCTTCCTTGATCTCATTGTTGACTCATTCATTGTTTAATAACTTGTTATTTAGCTTCCATGTCTTTGGATATTTATCAGTTTTTTTTTCTTGTGATTGATTTCTAGTTTCATAACATTGTGGTCAAAGAAAATGCCTGATAGGATTTCAATCTTTTTAAATTTATTGTGACTTTTATTGTGTCCTAATATATGGTCTATCCTAGAAAATGTTCCATGTGCACTTGAAAAGAATGTATATTCTGCTCCTTTGGGGTGAAATGACCTGAAAATATTAAATACATTTGATCTAGTGTGTCATTTAAGGCCACAGTCTCCTTTTGATTTTCTGTCTGGAAAGTCTATCCATTGAAGACAAAATTTTCTTCTATGACTGTGAATCTCTCCTTTTATGTCCATCAAGATTTGCTTTACATATTTAGATGCCCCTAGTTGGGTGTGTGAATATTTACTAGGATTACATCCACTTGTTGTATTGTTCCCTTTATCATTATATAGTGTCCTTATTTGTCTCTTACTATAGCCTTGGTTTCAAAGTCTATTTTGTTAGATATAAATATTGCTACCCCAGCTTTTTTTTCTTTCTGTTTGCATGAAATCTCTTTTTCAGTCTCTTTACTTTTAGTCTGTGTGATCTTTCATTCTGAGGTGATCTCTTAGAGCTTATATATGGATTTTATTTTCTTATCCATCCAGCTACCCTATGTCTTTTAATTGGAGCCTTTTAGCCATTTACTTTAAAAGTGATTATTAATATACATATTTATTGCAATTTTAAAACTATTTTCCTATTTTTTTCTTCCTCTTAAAGCAAGCCCTTTAACAGTTGTTGCAGTACTGAGTTTGTGTTAACAAACTCCTTTATCTTTTTCTTGTCTGGGTAGCTCTTTTACTGCTACTTCAATTTTAAATGATAGCTTTGCTGGGTAAAGTAGCCTTCATGGTAAGTCCTTGCTTTTTATCACTTTGAATATTTAATGCCAAACCCTTCTGGCCTGAAAATTTCTGTTGAGAAATCAGCTGAGTCTAATGGGAGCTTTCTTGGCAGAAACTAACAACTTTACTTTTGTGGCTTTTAAAATTCTCTCCTTTTCTTTAAACCTTGCATTTAAATTATGATGTGTCTTGGTGTGGGTCTATCTTTTTGGGGACTCTATGCAATTCCTGTATTTATGTATCTTTCTCCATCACTAGGTTAGGGAATTGTTGTATCATTATTTCTTCAACTAGGTTCTCAATCCTTGGCTCATTCTCTTCTACTTCTGGTCTCCCATGATGTGGATGTTGACTTTCCTCATTTTTTAAAATTCTCTCTTTTTGTTGCTCTGCTTGGGTATTTTTTCTAACTTGTCTTCCAAACATCTGATTTGATCCTTTGCCTCATCTAACCTACTGTTTATTCCTTACAGGAATTGCTTATTTCAGGTATTGCATTTTTTTGTTTCTTCTTTTAAGATTTCAGTATTTTATATTTATTTTTAATCATATTTTATTGATTATGCTATTACAGTTGTCCTGATTTTCCTCCCTTCCCCCTCTCCACCCTGCATGCC